ACTATTCCTTTAAAACTGAGAAAAAGAAAAACTTACATGACTGTGGAAAAAAAATCAGTTGCATAAAGTCACCTTTATTTTAGCTTTGAATTATGATTTTGAAGTTGGCTGAGATATCGAGTCTAAACAAGACTAGGTATATTCATTTGTTTCCCCAATTTAGTTTATTTCTATAGCGCCAGTTCACAACATGTCATCTCCAGGTACTTTCCAGTTCACCAGATCATCCAATCAGATTGATTCAGTTTTCTATCTAAGGAAAACCAGTTGATTGCATCGACTCATTGACTCACACTGACAAAAACTAAATCTAGATAAGTATTTTTTCTTAAAATAAGTGCATTTGTTCTTGAATTCAAAAGGTAAACGACACATTTTGCCAATGAAACAAGACAATTGACTTTTACAATAAGAAAACACAATTACATTGTCTTATTTCAAGTGCATTTTATCTAAATATCTTTATTTAAGAGTAAAAATACTCATTCCATTGGCAAATCACCTCATTCATCTACTCAAGTTAAGAATAAATACACTTAATTTAGGAAAATTTTACTTATTTCTAGATAATTTTTCCAGTGCAAAGGCAATCCCTCACACTAAGCATGATTGTAGCGACTGGAGAGGAAAACTCACTTTTAACAGGAAGAAACATCCAGCAGAACCAGGCTCAGTGTGAGCGGCCATCTGCTGAGGCCGACTGGGGTTCAAGGAGACAGAAGCAGAGATAAAAGAGCAACTGTAAAAGGCAGAAGAGCTCTGAGCCAGCTCCCATGTCAGAGGATGAAGAGAGCACATCCAGCCAGTCAGAGAAACAGGACTACACTGGAAAAACAGGCCGATCTCCAACATCTAGAAACAAAGGTGTTGATGGCAGCAGCACAGCTGATATTTCTCTCCAGGATGGAGTCACAGCCACACAGGAACAGATGAGCTCCCGTTGTTCAATAAGATAAATATTTATCTTATTAGGTATCTGATATTTTACAAAAAGTCATATTACACAATTTCCTATCAAGTCAGCTACTTTTATTTTATTTTAAAGATGTCTCCAAAGAAGTTGGAAGGAAAACCAACACAGAAAAAAGGATCAAAATGGAACAAATTCACCAGGAATAAAGGAGTAAATGTTTGTATACAACTAAAAAAAGGATCGACTATGCTGAATGTTTTAACCTCTTTAATCTGAGATCATCAGCCTGGAAGGGAGAAATTAACCTCATTGAGTTTTTTAATAGTGCAAACAAAGAAAGTACTAGAAGAATGTGTTGAAGTCCTTCTTTGTCATAACTTTCTGATTTATTAATGATTGTGCAGTGCTGCAAATGAAAAGGCTTTTGCTCTATTAAATTATTCAAACACTGAAGGGATTTTTTTTACCCTCTAAGTCAGACCAAGGCTCAATCCAGATACAGTAAGTCAGTGAGGATTTTTAGGACAAAGAGGAAGTGCGTCAGTGGTTACCATAATAAGTGCA